GGCTTGAAATAGAACTAGGGTTAGTTGATTTCGGGAGCGAAGGAAGGAGGCGATGGTGGCGCCGGGGTGAGCAAATCGAGGCCTAGGGATGCCGGCAAGGCCTCGGCTAGGAGCGAGCTGCATCCGGCGTAGGAGAGTAAGAAACTTAACACTTTGGGATGGGGGTGCAAGGATCGCCGGAAAAATCTGGTTGCTCCCTAGTTTAGAGGGATGGCTGTGGGCGGCAGTGAGGAGAGGTCGGGGCGGCGAGGCTGGCATGGGAGCGCTGACGGCCGCGAGCGGCGGTGGCAAGCTGTTTGGCCGGCGGTCTGTGAGGCGGTTTGGGGAAGGAGGCGAGGAGGGCTCAAGGTTGAAGGTGGACATCCGACCGTTCATTTTACATCTAACATCTAAGGACAGATCGACTTTCACCTGAACCCCGATAACCAGTCCCTTATAGTAGTTTGTCTCAAACTATCTATAGTAGATTATCGAGTTTGGGCACAAGAAGAAAATGACTAAAATATACGGTTTCGCTAAAACACATCTAGATGTGTCATAAGTATTACTCCCTCCGTCTAGATGTGTAAGTCATCTTACAAAAACCAAATAATCCCAAAACACTTAGGCGCGGTACATTAAATTCTACCTCGTTTCTTGTTTCTTGACATATCAACCAATAAGAAATGAGGGGTGTGCATGTTTTTAATGACTTGAGACTATCAAACACGACATGCAGTGGTTAGTTCATTGTATGCAATACTATTAATTAGCAAATAAATATTAATATCTCTCGTTTTTCCCTCCTCTTTGGTCACGGTGCACAACCTAAGATGACTTACTCATCTAGACGGAGGGAGTACACATCCAAATACTATATCATTGACTTTAGGCGGAGATTCGTTTGCCTGATTAAGTCACTTAGATGTGTAATAACTATGTCACATTTAGGTGTGCCCTAGATACACCCAGATACTCGGCCATGGACTGGGATCTAATTCCTCAAGACCCAACGGAAGAGGCACGGCATGAAATAACCTCTCACGGTGTTGGGAAGCACAAAAATGATCAAATGGTCCATCCATTTCGAAAATACCACATCGCCACTACCACCACGGCCGGGCCGAGGCCCCCACCTCGCACTCGCACCCACGAATCTATCTTGAGAAAAGCTTTGATGTCCATGGTCCCCTGTAGATCGAGCCCAAACGAGGCTCCCTCGCTCCCCAGCTTTTGGCGCCTCCTCCAAATCATTCGTCCATAATTCACCCCGCACGCCACTCCACGCACCATCCCCCTCCTCCTCTCGCACTAGGCGTAGGGTTAGAGGGGTAGGCCGGCCGGAGCAGGCATGCGTCCCCATCCACCACCCAAATCCGCCATTGCTTCCCCTTCTTCCTAGCCCTGTCGATCTAGGAGTGGCAAGCGGCCCGCCCGGCCGGCCCTGCGCGAGGGTCAAGATTCCCCTATTCCCACGAGACGCTGCCGCAGCGGCGCACCGGTCGGTCCTTGTCCGTGGAATTTTCAAAAATATGATTCGGGGTCTCCGAGGAATCCTCCCCCTCTGTGGATCACCGACCGTTGCGTCACGAGGGCAGTGCTTCGATCGAGCTGCCACACCCATGCAGCATCGGTGCTGCTTACGTAGAACAGCATGGCCGGCCTTGGTGCCATGCCATGCATGCATACATGCATCTCAAAACGGCGGGTACCCTACCTACCAGCTATCAGCAGCAATGGCCACGGCTCTTTCTGCCTTTTGGAGCGTAATGCTTTTAGGAAGCTATAAGCTGCATCATTGATCATTGATCCATCCACAATCCGTGGATCTATGCACGCATGCAGGCAGCGATGGGCTATAGCTCGTCCCGGGTCACGATCGCTGAATAATTGCGGCGTACTTAGGAGCAAGCACCGCGGGAGCGCTCGGAAAGGCCTCTTCACTCGTTACCGGGCGGGCGTGTGGATCCCCGGGAGAGATGGGAGAGAGATGGATGGATCGGTGGAGCCGTAATGGCCCGTCCAAAACCGGCACTGTTCCCTGGTAGCCTCGCGTCGCACGCCTCGCTGTAAGACTGACTGTAACTCTGCTGGCGCACGCACGTCCGGCCGGCGGGGCTCACGACTGGTCTTCTCCGAGGGCGGGAAGAAACCAAGGGGAAAACGAGGAGGAACCTCGCTGCTGGCGAGTCCGTGATGACACGGACCGGACCGGCGATCGATCGAGCTGACCCGACGGAGAAGCGCGTGGTGTGACACTGTGAGTCGGCACGGCTGCACGGGGTAACTGCACGGCATCTGCATGCATGGTGTGCTGATGGTGTTTCTTCCCCGGCCGCGCTGCACCCAGAGGCAGTGTCATGGTTGGGTGGGGTCGGGTCGGGATCGGTAAAAGCAAAGGGTTAGCGTAGCACTAACCCCGGTGATGAGGCGGCCGGCCAGCCCTGGCCCCTGGGGTCGGATCGCCGCTGGCGAGCACGCATGGATGGCTTTGGATTCCGGGAGGATGCACTGGTGCATAGTCTGGGCCGGGCGCCGTGTGGGTTGGCCCGACCCCGACTGACGGACGGACGGACGGAGCATTTGGTGTGGGCAGGAGGGGTCCGTGTGGCGGACGTGGCTGGAGGGAGATCACTGGGATCGTGCGCGGAGCAGTGGTAGCAGCGAGCGGCAGCGGTACCCCACGCACGGCCAGATGGCACAGGCACACACTGGCAGTGGTAGTGGTGTGCCTGCCGTGATCTTTTCCATCCATCGTCTGCCCCTTGCGAGTCCCGGGTGGTCATCATGCTCTCTCTGTGACTCACTGGAGATGAGCCGAGAGAGACGTGTTGGTGTGGGCGAGGTGACCCTGCGATGCCCACGCCACAGGTACTGCTGCCGCTCGCTGCTCCAGTCCAGTCCAGTGTGCTTCCTTTTTCCCGAAAGAGGGACAAAAGATTTGCCTCATCGATTAATTAAGAAGAAGAGAATTATCCAGTTAATTAATTAAAAACCGGACGAAAACCGATACATATAGACCACATACGGACTACTCGTTAAGAAAGAAACCCCCTAACCCATGAGCAACCCGGCAAACATACATAACACGCAACAACCACAATCCCTCCTACGTCGTAAAGAAACACCCAACGAAACCAAGGTTGAAGACAACGAACAACACCAAATCCACGGAGACGAGCCAATCCGAGATGGTGGTTGAAGAGACTGAGAATCATCCATTAAGCAGCTACGGACGCCTTACCAAGGGCGTCACTCTTCTTGCCTATGCTCCTGAGAGCCTTCTTCACCTTCTTGATTTTGCGCGTAGAAAATTCCTTCACTAGAAGGCAAGCAATCGTCTTGCCAGACCCAGGGCTAGTTGCCTCCAAGGAAGCGAGCAAGCCGCCAAGCTTCTTCTTGAAGACCGTCTCATCAATATGTGCCAGCATATCTTCACGGTCAAAGAGCGGGCGGATGGACTTCGGCGCCTTAGAATGAGGCGCCAAAGCACCTATCTCATCAACCTCGGCACTGACAGACGCGACCTTGTTCCTCACAGACACCTTCACTAGAACATCATCAGCTACGGGTATCACCGACACAATGGACTCTCGCGCCTCCAGTTGCCCACATGGCAGAGGTGAACCCTGTAGTTGCGCCTCAAAATTAGGTGTCAAAGCACCTACCCGATCAACCTCGTCACCCACAGACATCACATGCCCAATCTCCTTTGGAAGCACCATTGAAAGAGGTGAAGTGGGCTCGCCGCAACGCTCCTGTAGCTCAGGCATAATCTGCAGCACTGGAGTCACAACCTCGTCGATGACTACACTCCCAGAGACAGACAACAACACAGGCCTCGACGACAGACATGAAGTAGCACGAGGGGAGAAATGTCCATAGAGGCTTGCTTCCTCCACAACTGAAGATCCAATTTGAAGCTCAGGCAACAGAGACACAACTGGCACAACCTCAAGTTTGGCGAGGGCGGCCTCCGCTCTCCCTAAAACACTCTCAACTCGCGCAAGGCAGTCAAGAGGCAACTCGGTCTCCTCGGCCAATCCGGGTTGCACAGTCAAGACAAGCTGGAACGGCACATTTGATGTGGGGTGACTTCACTAGTGGGTGCAGGCGATGGAGTAGGACATTGGCGCGGCGAAGTTTGGTGAACAGGCTTCCTTGCACGGCAAAAGCGGGCGGTGTGACCGAATCGAAGACAGTCCATGCATCGGATAGGATCCCTGCAAGAGTGTGCGCGATGACCTCGACAGAGGCACCGAAAACACCTATCTCTCGGCCATGCCGGAGGCGGGCGCCTCATATTGACAGCAGGGCGGCGGAAAGCGGCGGAAGTCGGGTGACGTGTTCTAGAGACGAGCTGCCAGCCCTCCAACACATTCCCGCATGGAGCATGACACTCAGGAATTGCCGGCGTCGCCTCACGGTCGAAACATCCTCGCCAATCTCCCCAGGCCGGATGCTTCCTTCCTTATGAAAACTTGAACGAAATGGCTCCCATGCTCGAGAGGGCAAAGGGAAAACACATCATGTGTCTGTCCATCCGCTAGAGCCTGGAGACTTCTTTGGACGGACTGGGATTCTTTACAAGATCATAGGATTTGAATTTAAAATGGTAAGCCGTGTGACATATTATTGGTCTGCCTTTTTCATGCCATTTCTGGGGTACTGCCTGTGAGTGATCTGCGTTTCCTACGTGGAGAGATCAGGTTGTAGTAAAAGGGAGCCGACACTTCTGCCAAGTTTAATTTGCGACAGGAGATAGAGATGACGGTCCCCGGCCCGTACAACGTCCAGATACACATTGTTCATGCCTAAGTCTTGCCACATAAGCACATTTGGGATGGGCCTGTGAAGAACTCCAGGAGAAAGCAGGATTTTACAACGAGATGGAGAGTCAGCAGTTGATTTTACACATCTTTTACCACGCGGTTAAAACTGCACAAGCACGTCAGAGCTTACAAAAATCATATGCAGTACAATATTTCTCCAGGCCCAAGCGGTTTGTAGCCATCTTTGAGTTACGACTGCTGGTCATGTGAGACCAGATGCTTGTACTTCTGATCCACATTTGACGCTCTCGCCGCCTCCGTCAAGCCCTTGGTCACCACCATCTTCAGAATGTCACAACCCTCTTTTATGGCCGAATCAATCTAGGTTCAAAACAGGAAGACACAAAACACTTATAATAAGCTTCCGGTTGATGTATACAACACTCAATATGGAACCCTATTTTAGCATGCTTCTTTCGACCAAGTGTGGAACACCCCTCCAGTCAGTAAGTAACGCAGGCAGGCAGACTGTGTTCAGTTTGAAGCACAACACACCTTTCAGAGATGATACGGTTAAGTTGAGTTGTCACATAATATACCGGTCACCAAATTTAAGTTTTGGAAACCATCTTAATGCCCAATGATTCCTCCTATTCCTGGCTCTGGTGTGCTAAGAATAGTGGCAATAGACGAATGCAGTCATATAATGGGCTGACTCAGTTAGGTGTTTGCCATTTGCAAGATACATTGCAGAAATTCAACAGGGTTTAACTGAAGTAGATTAAATCAAGACTTGCTTATACAATATTGTTTGGTCATACCTGTCCTAGCAAATTAATGGACATGATCATGTAACCACAGAACAATTGAAGGTGTTTACATTATTAATTTACTAAGAACTAAGAACAATTAAGACACGATAATAAAAAGAAGCATAACATCAAAATTGAACTACATGATAAAAGCAATAAAGATTTACCCGTTCCCGACCAGTCTTATTGAATTTCTGAAGCACAAAAGCTTTGGGATCCATCTGACCAGGAGGTCGTCCAATTCCTACATATGCCAAACTATGATTTTCTTTTTTGGTCCAGAAGAGGAAAATAAAATCTGAATCCTGCTGTTGTCAGACCTACCAATCCTTAATCGACCAAATTCCCGGTTCTTGCGAAAATGGTAGATCACACTCTTCAACCTGATAAACTAACAAGGTAAATGTTTCCTGTCAAGATAAAAAAAAAAGCCCTCATCTGACAGAACGCACATAGATTTCAGAGTGCCAATGGTCTGCATCCATACACAAATACCAAATTTAATGATGGAGAATTCTATGACACTAATTAAAGAGTGCTCATGTTTGGAAGATGATTTTCAGTAACTGACTAAATGTCAAAGTCTGTTAAATGGCAAGTAGAAACAAGTGCACTAAAAGGATCATGGTGGCATGATGAAATGAAAAGAAAAAGCGTGTGCATTCAGGAATACAACAACTAACATGAAGTATAATTACTAATATGGTACACCTGCTTTATCAATGAAATGAACAAGCTTTCCCACTTGTAAAAAAATCTACAGAACAGAAGAGAAGTTCTGGCAATCTCTGTTTCTCAAAGATAAGCTGCATAATGATTACCAGTTCACTGAAACAGTGTATCTCCTAAGGGAATACCAACAAACTAGATTAGAGATCCAAGACAACGATCTGAAATTTTAAACTGATAAATTACAGATATATGCTTTTCATTATTTCTGTATTTAAACACAATGCATGAACACATGGTTTTCCCTTTGGAATCTTTTGACACAGGAATAAAACTCTTTCAGAGAGGGCATAAAGTTAAGGTTTACCAACCCATTGTGACGTCCATATCCTCCTTTAGGTTGTAAACGGAGAACTCCACATGGCAGGTCCGTGTCATCATATGCCTAAGACTCATAAAACAGAGAAGTCAGATCACTATATAAGGTGGCGCCGATGAATATCAGAAAACAAGCGCTTACCACTATGACACGGTGAAGTGGCAGTTTATAATAGGCAGCAAATGCACCAGCCCGTAATAAGAAAAGGAAAAACAGAGGGGTGTCAGCGTCACAAGGATTTAACATGCTGTCGTGGTTCACAGTCAAGCCAGTTAAAATGAACCGCATCGCATGAAAAATGTATAGTATAAAATTTGAAGAAGTCTTCCAAAACTGTTTGCTTACAGATTCACCACTCAGATTTATGTATGTTTGTGGCTTGGCAAGCAAAACAGGGACACCATCTACCACCCCTGCCGAAGGCCAGCACTTTAAGTCAATTCAAGTCTTTGGTAATTTGAGAACAGAATATGCATTACTCAAAGAGTAAAGAGAAACATTCTTCTGAGAGATTACAGATGGAGCCAAACCTTCACCAAATAGTGCTTTGAAATGATGCGTTATCAGGGATATGCCCTGAGACACTGCAAATGCATCTATCATATCAAATCCAACCTGCAAGGTGAAACAACACAAAAGAACTCTGAGAATAAAGCCGGGCCACTGAATTCCAAACAAAAGATGAGAAGGAGAACTAACATTGTGTCTGGTGGATTGGTACTTCTCACCGGGGTTACCGAGACCAATAAAAAGCCATGGTTGTATTACCAAGCTCGATGAAGATGGAGGTAGCGACGATGTCCCGCAGGTGGAGATGTAACGCTTTGAAAGGAAGGGAGCAAATCCCATCCAAAGCTTTGCCCGCATGATTTACTTGATCCTATGCGTCCAGGCTGCCATAAGTGCAAAACCTGATGGAAAAAAAAAATCCGTGAGGTGAACCAATTCTGTGAGTGACCACTGGCAATGTTGCAGCAAAACAAGAGGCCAAAACACACCAGATATTGGACCCAAGCCTTGCGCATCCAAACAATGTCTAGTGAGTAGTGACGCACATTGGCCACAGCAGAACACAGAAGTATCCAAGGCAGAAAGAGCTCGAACAATCATGGAAGAAAGCACTTTTACAATCGCCGCATCTAGCTTAAGCATTTCATCATACAGCTGCTAGACAATAACATGTACCGGCCTCATCCCAATGCCTGAGTTGCAAAACTAATCTGAACTCTACATCATGGTTTCGATCAGACCATCGGATTTGATTATCCACATACAGAATCTCCCAAAATGTCAGGACCCCGGTCACTTTGAAGATTCAAGTGCAGGCGAGGAGTAAAGACCAGAGAGTGCTTACAAGTCGGCTGCAGAGGGCGCGATCCCGACGGCACCGGTGAAGACCGTCGCGAAGCAGAGGGCACCACCGGTGCACCTGGTCTTGATCCGCTCGTTCCCGTCAGCGCGTTTTGGGGTGTGGAGTGGCCGCCGGCTCCAGCGCCGTCGCGTCGCCTTTTTTTTCCCGAGAGGTTCGCCGTCGCGCGCCGTTGTGCGGGCAAGAGAGTTCGGCCTCTCACCGGTGTGCTTGGTCCTCCTGAGACAGTGGTAAGCCACAGCCCATTGTGTATGGGCCCAAAGTATAGGCCCCGATTTGAAATGCGGACAGAAACTCAAAAGATTACCGTGGTGTAAAAAGGAACGACAACTAGTCAAAATCATTTATGTCAAAAAAAAGTTTCAAAAAAACACATGTAGGAAAAACCGGCATGAAAATTTCTCACATGTTGTTTGGATGTTACTATATAGTAGTCCCTCCGTCCGAAAATACTTGTCATCAAAATGGATAAAAATGGATGTATCTAGAACTAAAATACATAAAGATGCATTCCCTTTTATTCATTTTGGTGGCAAGTATTTCCGGACGGAGGGAGTATGAGACACGCAGAATCATAGAGACAGCGAGGAAAGAATACAAAATGAGACCGTGTGAGTATGAAATTCATTGGAATCAAGGCTAGCCATTTGTTTATTCCAAACAGCGTCAAATTAAAATCTCTATACTCTGCAAAAAAAAAATCTCTATATGAATACCATCCTACAAAATTCCTAAGCTTTTACAAAACTAGATAATGCCTCAGAATTTATAGCAATAAATTTGTCGAGGACAAAATTAGAAGCCTCGTTAACTTCTGGTTTCGGTTGAGCGATTTTTTGTGAAAAAATTAAAAATTGATTATGATGATTTGCCCCCATGACTTTCTAGCTTTCGCGGAATAAATTGTTGCTAAACATAAAAATAAAATAAAATGATGATGATGTGGTACCCTTACATGTGCTGAAAAATGGGATCATATGTAGTATGTCACCATACATGCCACGGTCTGCAATGTTCTCTTATCATTACAAAACTTGTAACATTTTTGGAACAAAGCAGTGGTATACATTGAATTATCATGTGTTCTTAAACTCAGCGAGAATGCTAATGCATTATAGAAAGGGAAAATTCACACATCTCAAACGTGTACTTATTCTCTACCAAAGTTGTCCACCAGTAAAAGAAATATAGCAAGAAAAATGATATTAAAATAATACTTTTTTATAACACACGCGTGCCGGGAGGCTCACGAAAGTTGATATAAAACTGGAAATCCACCGCATGGACAAATATCTATAAAGGACACTATTGTCTCAAAAGAAAATCTATAAAGGACACTAAGACAAATATTGCAGGAAAATACATTTGCTTTATAAAAGAATACTTTGTCCCGCCGATGCCAATCATGAAAAATTAACCAAAACAATTGCTCTAGAAAAGTCG